TGATTCTTGAGAGAGAGAAAAAAAGTAAGAAGAGCCCTATGATTGCCTGCCTTACAGACTAGAGAGTATGTAGGCCCCTGTGTAGGGAGGGAAATCTAGGCAAAGCTCAGCCATCTCCCTACATTGAGGAGACAGAATGGGAGGGGTCTGAGGAAGCCAAGGCAGCTAGAGTTCCCAGACAGAAGACCAGAGAGAGAAGGTTCCAGGGATCTGCCAAGGGGCCCCTGGAGTCTTCAGTTAATTAATGACCAATAAGTACCTGGATGTCAGGAAACTGAGGGCAGAGAAAGAACCACCAGAAAGAAATGGAGGAAACAATCTCCAGAACTCACACTAGGTAGAAAGAGTTTGTGTTTCCACCAGCTAGGGTGGAAAACCTCATAACTGTCAGGGTGCTGGTAAAATACTCAGAAGACTGTTGCCTTAACTGAGTGGAGTAAATTAGTTCTCGACTAGCCACTGGGCTGGTCCCATCTAATAAAGCTTAAAAGCAAGTCTTGAAAGGATCAAACTGTCTCAAAGTCACTAAACAGCACCTCAGAACAAGCTCAAGAATATTTATAGGAATGCAAAAAACATGTAATATCTATGATGCATGACTAGCATCCAATCAAAAATGACAAGATTTTTTCAAAAGAAGAAAATACTGGGCACTTGGGTGGCTCAGTAGGTTAAGTGGCCAACTGGATTTTGATTCAGGTTGTAACCTCAGGGTCCTGGGATTGAGGCCTGCATTGGGCTCCACACTCAGTGGAGAGTCTACTTCAGCATTCTCTCTCTCTTTCTGCCCCTCCCCCCACTTGCTCACTCTCTTTCCTTCTAAAATAAATAAAATGTTTTTAAAAAAATAAGAAAATACAACCCAAAATGAGGAGAAAAAGCAATCAGTCAAAACTGACCCCAAATGACACATGATGGAATAGACAAAACCATTAATTCAGTTAATTATATTTCACATATTCCATAATTACATTACATATATTCAAGAAGATAGAAGGAAAATTGAGTATGTTAAGTAAAGACACTGAAGATGTAAAAAAGACCCACATAAACTTCTAGGGATAAAAAGTACGGTGTCTGAAATGAAAAATACACTGGACAAGATTAATAGCAGATTAGACAAAGCAGATGAAAACTTGAGTAACTGATAATAGAAACTATCCAGAAATGAAACATCAGAGAGAAAAAAAGACTAAAGCAAACAAGAGAGCATCATTCTGCTGTGGGACTTCAAGTAACCTAATACATATGCAATTTAAGGTCCAAACTTGATGGGGGAAGAATAATGGCTAATATTACCCCAAATTTGATGAAAGCTAAAAATCCACAGAGCTGAGAAGTTCAACAAATCCTAAGTATATGAATCAAGAAGAAAATTACATAAAATCTCATTATCATCAAATTGCATAAGACTAGAGATAAAGAAAAAAAAATCCTAAAAGCAGCCAGAAAAGAAGTCAGTTCTAACATACAAAAGAATCAAGATTTAAAATGACAGTAAGCTTTTCATTGGAAAGAATGCAAACCAGAAGACTGTGAAACAAAATCTTTCAAATGTTGAAAGAAAAGAGCAATCAACCTAGAATTCTCTATCTGGTGAAAACATCTTCCAAAAATGAAAGTCAAATATACATTTTTCAGACATGCAAAAGCTAAAAGAATTCATTACCAGAAGACTCATGCACTAGACGAAATGTAAAAGAAGAAAAGTCCTTTAGACAAAAGAAAAGTGATATAAGAATAAAGTTTGAATCTACACAATTGAATAAAGAGCACTGGAGTTGGTAAAAACAAGAGTTAAATATAAAATAAATCTTTTCTTACTGTTGAAATGTCTTTAAAAGACAAGTAACTATCTAAATAAAAAATAGTAATAATGTATTTTAGGGTTTATAACATATGAAAAAGTAAAATGTATAATAGCAAACTAGTTGAGGATGGGGGAAATGAAAGTATACTTGGGATTACAAAGTCACATACTAGGGATCATACCAGTTACAAAGTTCTCATACTAGGGATCCCTGGGTGGCTCAGCAGTTTAGCACCTATCTTCCACCCAGGATGCAATCCTAAAGTCCTAGGATCGAGTACCGTATCGGGCTCCCTGCATGGAGCCTGCTTCTCCCTCTGCCTGTGTCCCTGCCTCTCTTTCTGAGTCTCTCATGAATAAATAAAATCAATCTTAAAAGAAAACCAAAGTTCTCATACTATAGATAGTGGTATAATATTACTCGAAGGTAGACTATGATAAATTAAAGATATATACCATAAACTCTAAAGCAACCACTCCCGAAAAAGGACATACAGATAGAATAGAAAACAAACAGCAAGATGACAGAACTGAATCCAAACACAGCAATAACCACATGAAATGTTAATGGTCTAAATGCCCCAATTAAAAAGCAGAAATTATTAGAATGGATTAAAGTATAAGACCCAATTATATGCAGGCTACAAGAAATTTATCTCAAATAAAAAGACACCACAGGTTAAAAGTAACAGGTTATCTCATGCTAACACTAGCCAAAATAAGCTACACTACCTGTCTATCTTAATATTAGACAATGTAGATTTCAGAGCAAAGAATATTATCATAGCTTAAGAAAGGTCACTTTGTAATGAAACAATAAAGGTGCCAATTCATCAAGAAGACATAACAATCCTAAATACATCTAATAGATCTTCAAAAAAGATAAAGTAAAAAAAATGATAGGATTGCAAGGAAAAAAAACAGACAAATCCACAACTATTGCTGGAGATTTCAACACTTATCTTTCTTTCAATAGTTGACAGAATGAGCAGATTAAAAACAGTAACTATACAGTAATTATGAATACTGGCAGCCAACTTGATCTAACTGAGATTTATACAACAGACTATCCATTTTTTTTTCGTGTACATAGGCAACACCAAGGTAATTCATGTTCTGGGCCATAAAATAAATCTCAATACATTTAAAATAATTCCAATTATACAAAGTATGTTCTCTACCCACAACAGACTTAAAATTAGAAATCAATAATGGAAAGATTGGGAAAAATCTCCAAATCTATGGAAACTAACACATTGCTCAGATTTAATTTAAAAAAAAAAACAACAACAAAACAAAAAAAACAAAACCTGGGACACCTGAGTGGCTCAGCGGTTAAGCGTCTGCCTTCTGCTCAGGGTGTGATCCCAGAGTCTCGGGATCGAGTCCCATATTGGGCTCCCTGCATGGAGCCTGCTTCTCCCTCTGCCTGTGTCTCTCTGCCTCTCTCTCTCTCTGTGTCTTTCATGAATAAAATAAAATATTTTAAAATAAATAAATAAATAAATAAATAAATAAATAAACCTGCCTGTTTTGAAGAAATGATACATTTCTTTCTCTCAGAGTATGACTATTAAATAAGTTACATGGTTTTTGCCTTGGCTGCCAAGAAGCTCAGAGCTAAATAAGAGGCTTATTTTTATTTTTTTAAGATTTATTAATTCATTTTTTTAAAATTTTTATTTATTTAGGATAGTCACACACACAGAGAGACAGAGAGAGAGAGAGAGGCAGAGACACAGGCAGAGGGAGAAGCAGGCTCCATGCACCGGGAGCCCGACGTGGGATTCGATCCCAAGTCTCCAGGATCGCGCCCTGGGCCAAAGGCAGGCGCCAAACCGCTGCGCCACCCAGGGATCCCTATTAATTCATTTTAGAGAAAGAAAGAGAAAGCATGAGTAGGGAGGGCAAGGGGAGAGGGAGAAAGAATCTCAAGCAGACTCTGGGCAGAGCTCAGGGCCTGACATGGGGTTGGATCTCAAGACTTTGAGATCACAACCTGAGCTAAAACCAAGAGTTAGCTGCTTAACCAACTGAGCCACCAAGGTGCCCCTAAATATATCTACTCTGAAATATTCATTCAACTCAGATGAAGTTTAAACACAACAATCTTACCTCTACTCTTTTTTTTTATGATAGAGAGGAAGAGAGAGAGAGAGACAGAGAGAGAGAGAGAGACAGACACAGGCAGAGGGAGAAGCAGGCTCCATGCACTGGGAGCCCGACGTGGGATTCGATCCCGGGTCTCCAGGATCGTGCCCTGGGCCAAAGGCAGGCGCCAAACCACTGCGCCACCCAGGGATCCCCCTTACCTCTACTCTTAAATCATTCATTCAACTTACTTTAAGCATCTAGTATGTTTCATAAATTTTATAGTATCTAGGGATATAAAGTGACAGCAATATAGTCCTCACTCTGAAGCTCAGTTTTATGGTCAGGTCTAGTAGAAAATATATTTGCAAACACCTGTTTTCATTTATTCAAAAATCTCAACTTTAATAGCTCTTTCTAAAATGTGTCCTTTCTGGGGACACCTGAGTGGCTCAGCAGTTGAGTGTCTGCCTTCAGCTCAAGGCGTGATCCTGGAGTACCAAGATCAAATCCCACATCGGGTTCCCTGCATGGAGCCTGCTCCTCTCTCTGCCTGTGTCTCTGCCTCTCTCATGAATAAATAAATAAAATATTTTTTTAAAAATGTGTCCTTTCTTCAAGATTGCTTTTAATCCTTTCCAGAAACAGCTGTTAGCACCCTGCCATACCTAACTAAATAATCATGCACAATAATTTTAATAGTAGCCTAGGTTTAACATGATTCAAAGTGTATGAAATTATGAAAAATTATAATGCACTTGCAAGGCCAAATAGTTACTTTTTAGATGATTTATAGGAATGCTCCCTTCTCTTGGAGTAAACAACTTAAAGTTGATTGTCTTTAAATATATCATCAGCAATAATCTAAGAGTTACAATATCTAAAGGAACATATAATTCAATAGCAGTGTTTGAGTAGGTGAAAGTACCTTCTGGGAGAGGAGGGAGCTGAATATCACAATAGGACCATAGCTTTCATCACCTACCCTCCAAAACTTAAACCATTTCATCTCCTCTTTCATGATACCTGTGACTCAAGCTAACAGGGGAAGAGAAAGTAGTGAGTATCATGAATTTCATAAAATTTATCCAGCACTTACCTTTACAGCTAATATTTTCCCACTCGGGACATGATATGCTCTATGGGAAGAAAAAAAATAACAAAATCACTTGGGATACTAAACAACCTACAGAATGGTTAAGGACATAAATGTGAATCTGAACATATCTGCAGTAATGGGATATGTGATACTTTAAAAGAACACTAATAACATTAGTAGCTTATATTTTTATTGAGCTTAATGGTTTAGACAGTGATTCATTACACATTACCTTAAAATAACCCCCTGAGGTAATGCTGGTATTATTATCCTCCTTTTATAGACAGAGAGCTCTGAAGCACAGAGAAGCTAAGCAGTTTTCTCAATTGTACAAAGTCAGTAAGTGGCAGAACTAGACCTCAAACCCAGGTCTTCTGCCTCCAGACCCTCACAATCTTCTGTAAGTCTTCTGCTAAGCATTGTAGAGTCATATGAAGTAGGAGGTTTTCCTTTTGTTTACTTCAATTATAGAAACAGATAAACTATATCCCTACATTTCATCAAAATAATCTCAAAACATGAGGAATTAGCTATGGCTTAAGATACAAATTCATATAAGAAATCACAGACTTATCAGGCTCAAGTATGTGGTTCATCTTTTCCTAAAGCTGGCATCTCTCAATTTTAAAAAAGCTTTGGAAAAGAGGCAAGCTCAAATGATCAGATAGAGTGAAATAACTACAGTTTAAATCAAGGCATAGAAATGCATTCATTTATGAAAAAGAATAAGAGAGTAGGTTTGCAGAAATAAGATATCATTACTTCTCATTAAGACCTTCGTGTTTAAAAGACATATGGCCTTGCACACATGTTCTGAAAGGATTGTACATTCTGACCATTATCCAGGGACAATCTGATATAAAAATGTCTAAACAAACCACACAATATAAACAAGCACTGTTATTGCAAGATATACTTACCAGGCTCCCAATAATGACTTGGCAATGATTTAGTAGTAAAAACTGCCATTTCTTAAAATAAAAACAATATATATTCTACTGTTATCAAAATGAAAACATCAGTTTTTGCTGTATGGGTAGAAATATGTGGATGAGGGATCCCTGAGTGGTTCAGCGGGTTTAGCACCTGCCTTCGGCTCAGGGCATGATCCTGGAGACCGGGGATCGAGTCCTACATTGTGCTCCCTGCATGGAGCCTGCTTCTCCCTCTGCCTGTGTCTCTGCCTCTCTTGCTCTCTCTCTCTGTGTCTCTCATGAATAAATAAATAAAATCTTAAAAAAAATATCTGGATGGTTGCTCTGACAAATTTTTTAGCAACTTTCTTTAGGTACAATTTTTTTTTTTTTAAAGATTTAATGTATTGATTCACGAGAGACACAGAGAGAGAGAGGCAGAGACACAGGCAGAGGGAGAAGCAGGCTCCATGAAGGAAGCCCAACGTGTGACTTGATCCTGGGTCTCCAGGATCAGGCCCTAGGCTGAAGGCAGTGCTAAACTGCTGAGCCACCCGGGTTGCCCCTAGGTGCAATTATATACGTAAAATTCACTCGTTTTAAGTATGTAATTCAATGATTCTTTGGTAAATTTACAGAGTTTTTGCAATCACTGACAAGTGTTTTGTTGTTTTTTTTAAAGATTTTATTTATCTATTCATGAGAGACACACAGAGAGAGAGAGAGAAAGGCAGAGACACAGGCAGAGGGAGAAGCAGGCTCCATGCAAGGAGCCCGACGTGGGACTCTATCCTGGGTCTCCAGGACCAGGCCCTGGGCTGAAGGCACCGCTAAACTGCTGAGACACCTGGGCTGCCCTGACAAGTGTTTTTTAAGTGACTGACTTATAGAAATGGTTTAGCTACTAAGAATACGCAAGCATTTGTAGCTTTTCACATATAAAATGTTACAAATTCAAGTAAGATTAGAAAAAAAGTATATATGAATATAGGTATGTATATATCTATATATTAGTGTTACAAGAAATTTGTTCTGCTTTTCCTATTTGAGTGGACCAAGGTCAAGCCAACTATGGAAGGTAAACTTAGCCTTTGACAATCAATTGTAAAGAAATTCAATTATATCACATTTAAGGAAAAGCAAGATTATAAAAATTAAGTGGTAATTGTTCACCCTATTGAAGAGTTTTGTTTTGTTTTTTTAAGATTTTATTTATTTATTTATGAGAAACACAGAGAGAGGCAGAGATATAGACAGAGGGAGAAGCAGACTCCTCGCAGAGAGCGATCCTGGAACTGATGATGCGGGAATCGATCCTGGAACTCTGGGATCACTCTGAGCCGAAGGCAGCCGCTCAACCCAGGCGTCCCTGAAGAGTTTTTTTAATCTATAAGGTGTCTAAAGACTTTCTCTAAATATCAACCTCCAAGTATAAATACTATTACACTTATAAAACAAATTATTTAAAAAAAATTTTATGTTTTAGATAAAGTGGTATACATTTTATAAGTGGAACCCCTGTAGTATACAGGTTTTAGAACAAATTACCATTTAATTTACTATGTATGTTAATATCAAACTTTTACAGTGTGAAACTACATTAAAGGTAATGATTCAATTCATTATATATCTGAACTCATATAATATACTGGTATATAAAGACTAACACTATTTTTCTCACTGACAGAGAAGTTGTTAGATTAAGCTAATTTGAAATGTGATTTGAAGGAAGTTAATAACCTTATTCTATGTAAATATAGTTAACATGTAAGATTTAATGATACATTATTTCCCCCCTTACCATAGTTCTTCCAATTTCAACTTTAAAAATGCTGTATATTAGAATTTCTAACCAAGGACTGAAATATGAAGATAAAACAGTTGAATGCTTACACAAGGCTTCAAAATTTGCAGAGAACAATGGTGTTACTTTGGACAACAAGCAATCCCTGGACGTTTGAGACCAACAGCAATGATAAAGAGATGACTAGAAGATAGTCTAATGTGTATACCATCCTGGATAGTTTGGCAACTTAATAAGCTTGTCAAGAAAGCTGATGTCTCTTCCAAAAGAAAGGTCTCCTATTTCCAAGTGAATTAAAAGGGCGAGGCTTGATGATTTAATTATGACGCACGTTAGTTCATCCGTGGAAGTTTGGGTTGGATTTCGAGCAAGAGAGATGCCGTGAGGTTTGGTTTACAGTGCAATGACAGTACCAGTTTAACATTTAATCACCAAGAGAAGTGAATGACAAAGGCAAGGCCAGGCAGGAGTCGAATGTGTCTCTGAACTTTGCAAATGGCATTCTACCTAGAGAAAAGGAATTTGTTTACTTTCAACAGATACTGCATCTCAATTGTCTTGACCTTCCCCAACACATTAACTATAAAGTGATTAATGAAGTTTGAATGGAGGCTCTGGTTACACCAAAAGACAACTATACACCTCTCCATTGTTTTAATTAACAGCTAACACTTCAAATTAGTTTACTGTTGCCACAGTAATTACCTGTTCCAGTGAGTGCATGAGGGAAACATTTTTATGTGATATTTTTAGTGCTGAGTCCTTGAAGTCCACTTTCTTTGTCACCAGCACACATCTTCTGGGAATGGTCCCAGCCCTTAAAGTTGAGCCCACAACATAAACACTTTAGGATGGCATGAACTAAGCAATCTGGCCTAAGGTATTTGACTATTTAAAATAGCAAGGAGAGGGCAGCCCAGGTGACTCAGCGGTTTGGCGCAGCCTTCGGCCCAGGGTGTGATCCTGGAGACTGGGGATGGAGTCCCGTATCGGGCACCCTGCACGGAGCCTGCTTCTCCCTCTGCCTGTATCTCTGCCTCCATCTCTGTCTCTTATGAATAAATAAAATCTTTAAAAAAATAAAAATAAATAATAAAATAGCAAGGAGAGGAGTAAAAGATGGGGAACACTTACTGTCCATATTTTCTTACTTTTGTTTTTCATTTGGAATAGGTTTTAGATGACTGGAGAAAAAGTTGGTATCAACCTTCAATTTTCATACAGAATCAGGTAATTTATTGAGCTCATAGGTAATACAGAGAATTGTCTAATCTAATCTTTTCTTTTTGGATTGGAAACACCCAAAAACCATGTTTAAAAAACTCGTCCAGGGGTAGCCCAGGTGGCTCAGCGGTTTAGCGCCACCTTTGGTCCAGGGCCTGATCCTGGAGACCTGGGATCGAGTCCCACGTCAGGCTCCCTTCATGGAGCCTGCTTCTCCTTCTGCCTGTGTCTCTGCCTCTCTCTCTCTATCTCTGTGTCTCTCATTGAATAGGCAAATAAAATCTTTAAAAAAAAAAAAAAGAAAATTTAAAAAAAACAAAAAAATAAAATAAAAAACTTGTCCAAACTTACAGTCAATGACAAGGCCAAGACTGGAACTGGGGCACAATATATATATTTTAGGACCTTAAAGAAATATATGGTGATGTTTAAGTTTTCTTAACTGCATTTCAGGACAGGGAAATTTGTAATTCAAAACTTACAAAGGTGCTACCTATTTCCATCAATCTAAGGACCATCACATCTGAATCTTCCCAGGCAAAGAAGTATTCTGTGAGCACCACTTGTCTATCATGGGAGGCAGAAGAGCAAAAGGTGTTTTAAGTTTTTATTTAAATTCCAGTTAGTTAACATATAATGTAGTATTAGTTTCAAACGTACAATATAGTGATTCAGCACTTCCAAACAATACCTGGTGCTCATCACAAGTGCATTCCTTAATCCCCATCACCTATTTCACCCATCCCCTTACCCACTTATCCTCTGGTAACAATCAGTTTGTTCTTGAAAATTAAGTCTGTTTTTTGGTTTGCCTTTTTTCCCCTCCCTTTGCTCATTTCTTTCATTTCTTAAATTACACATATGGGTGAAATAATAGGGTATTTGTCTCTCTCTAATTGACTTATTTTCTTAGCATTGTACTCTAGTTCCATTCATGTTGTTGCAAATGGCAAGACTGCACTTTTCTTTATGGCTAAGTAATATTCCATTATATATATTACTACATCTTCTTATGCATTCATCCATCGATAAGACAGTTGGGCTGTTTCCAAAACTGGCTATTGTAAATATTAATGCTGCTATAAACATCAGATGCAT